CATGTATATTTTGGTGCTCAGGATTGATCTTGTTATATATTAATTGTGGTTAGCTTCAATTTCTAGCACAGCAACTTTTTTGTTTTGTTTTGTTTTGAGACAGGATCTCACTGTGTAGTTGAGACTGAGCTGGAACTCACTATGTAGAGCAGGCTGGTCTCGAACTCACAGCGATCCTCCTGCCTCAGCCTCTGAGTGCTGGGATAACAGGCGTGCGCCACCACGCCTGGCACAGCAACCTTGTGAATGGGAGTTTGGGGATTTTTTTTTTTTTTCATTACTGGAGATTGAACCCAGGGTCTTTGCATTGAGCTACATATGCAGCTTATTGTTTTTTAATTTTTTATCTTGAGTCAGATCTCACTGAATTGGTAAATTGCCAAGGCTGGGCTTGAACTTGCAATCCTCCTGCCTTAAAGTGCTGGATTTACAGGTGTGTGCCATCAAATTGAGCTTAGTTTTGGAAATCTTCAGTGGGACCTTTAGGGGTGAAATATGTGTTATGTTAAATATGCATCAGCTTGGACAACAAAAGTTACAGTTGTTCTCTATGGACAGTGAAGTGACCAGCCAGGAGGCTGAGTGATGCTCCCTGTGTACATTGAAGTCAGCTGGTGTGTCTGCCTCTGGGTAGCCAGGATGAACTCTCCTTGAGCTTCCTGTGAGGCTGGCACTTTGTAGGAACTCTGCCAGCTCTATGGCAGCTCTATTGTTTCCTTCCCCTGTTGGGCCCCTGCTATCCTGACTTTTTTTTTTTTTTTTTTTTTTTTGCGACAGGGTCTCACTATGTAGTTGACACTGACCTGGAACTCACTATGCAGCCCAGGCTGGTGTCGAACTCATAGCGATCCTCCTGCCTCAGCCTCCCGAGTGCTGGGATTACAGGCATGCTCCACCACGCCTGGCTATCCTGACATTTTATACTCATTCCTTCTGCAAATAAGGTTTATATCAAGTGAATTCTCCACGTGTCTGTTAGATAACCTACCCCTGGCAGGTATATATGGTCTATTGCTGGAGCTGAAAATTTGGTCTGTATTTATCTGAAAACCACCTGGGAAATGGACAGAAAAGAGGGGAAAAGATCTGGAGGGCTCTGTTTGGAGAAGCGCTGCCTATTGCTAGCTTTGATTTCCCTTTACTAATTTAACCACTACTTAAATGGTGCTGTGTGTGTGCCAGGCAGTGTTCCAAGCACTTTACACGTTTTGCTCATTTAATTCTCTCAACTATCCAATGAGGTAGTGGCTCTTCTTATCCTTAGTTTACACACGAAAAAACCTAAGGCATGGCAGGTTAAATAACTTGTTTAGGGTCCTATTGCTTTTAAAATATATTCTCAGAGCTATTAGTTAGTGAATTTTAGCATATTGAAATCCTACATTCCATTTAAATGCACATTTAAAGATAGACTGTAGAAAGCCTGGCGTGGTGGAGCACACCTGTAATCCTAGCACTTGGGAGGCTGAGGCAGGAGGATCACCATGAGTTTGAGACCAGCCTGGGCTACATAGTGAGTTCAGGGCCAGCCTGAAATACAAAGGGAGATGCTGCCTAAAAAAAAAAAAAAAGAAAGAAAAAAACTGTAGAGAATTTTTCTGTGAGGTAAGGAATCATCTCCAAATCAATTTTTATATTTATGTATAAAGTTGCTTGTCTTATTCTTGATTTTTGAAGGCTCCAGATTTTGAGTATCTAATACAACCACCTACCTGGGCCAGATTTTTGAAGTAAAAATAGGATTAAGCAGGAATCCAAAGCCTATATTTTAAGGGTGTGAGGAAGGAGGGCGCTATGGTTTGACTATAGTTCGTCCCTTCTGAAAATCATGTTGAAATTTAGTTTTCATTAAAAGATATTGCTGGGCATGATGGGGCACACCTGTGATTCCAGCACTCACTAGGGAGGCTGAGGGAGGAGGATCACTGTGAGTTTGAGATCAGCCTAGGCTACATAGTGAGTTCCAGGTCAGTCTCAACCATACAGTGAGACCCTGTCTCAAAAAGCCAAAAAAAGAGAGATATTAAGAAATAGGACTTGTAAGAGGTGATTAGGACTCTGCCCTCATGAATGGAATAACCATCCATTCATTTCCTAGATTAATGTGTTACCTTGAGGATGAGCCTGCTGCGTCAGCCAGTTTGGGTCTGAGGATATAGTTCAGTGGTAGAGCATCTGTGTAGAATGTTGAAGCTCTGGGTTTAATTTCCCACCACTGGGAGTGGGGAGCAGCTTGGCTAGGTCTCTTCTGCATACCTTGGTTCCTTGTGTCACCTCAGGACTCTGCCAGCAAAAAAGCCATCGCCTAGCCAACGCTCTGGGAGGCTGAGGCAGAAGGATCATAAATTCCAGCTCAGCCTGGGGCAATTTAGCAACTTCATGAGACCCTATCTGAAAATAAAAAAATAGAGAGCTGGTGATGTAGCTCAGTGAAAAGGTCCTGGGTTCAGTCCCCAATACACACACACACACCCAGATGCAGTCCCTCATGTTTAGACCAAGAACTGTAAGCCAAAATAAATCTCTTTTCTTTATAACCTCCTGCTGTGGCTTGGATATGATTTAGTGTATTTCCCAAATGTTCATATGGTAGAACCTTTGGTTCTTACTGTGGTGGTGGTGGTGAGGAGCTTAAGATTGGAGCTTAGTGAGAGGGGTCTCTGGTGGTGCTGCCCTTGGAAGGGATTCATGAAGTTCTCTTGGAATCCAGTTAGCTCTCTCCAGAGTGAGTTTTCACAGCAAAACTGGCTCCTTCTCACTCTGGCTTTTTTGTCATGTGATCTCCCTTTCTCCATGGGTTCATGTCACAGTGCCATTTGTTATGAGGCCTTTGCCAAAGCTGGTGCTATGCTGTGTGGACCATCAGTCTCCAAAATTGTGAGTGAAATAAACCTTCTTATATAAAGTACCCAGCCTCAGGTTTTGTGTGTGTGGTACTGGATACTGAATCCAGGAATGTTCTACCATTGAACTACATCACCAGTCCTTTTTATTTTGAGACAGGGCCTTGCTAAATTGTTTCAGCTGGCCGTCCTCCATCCTCAGCTTCCTAAGTAGCTAATAGGCCTGCACCACTGCAAACACCAGGCTCCAGTCTCAGTTAATTTGTTATAGCAATGGAAAACGACCTAACACACTTATCCAGTCTGTGGTATTGTTTAGCAGCAGAAAATGTACTAAGACAGAAATTTATCTCAGAATTCTGGGCTATCTCAAATCTAGCAGTTTTCAGTGTTTCTGCCTGATCTTCAGACGTGAGTTTGCAGAGATGGGCAATGTAAGAAAACCTGAAAGTAATCCCCCACCCCAGTGGACCTAGACTGAAGTTTGGGAACTGAATTTTCAAGCATATTTTAAATAAAATGGGTTCATAGGGCCAGGGATTTAGCTCAGCAGTTCGGTGGCCTGCCTTGCAAGTGCAAGGACCCGAGTTCAGTCGCCGGTAAAAAAAAAAAAAAAAAAAAAGGGTTCATAAAGTATTTTCTTAAGGTAAAGTGTGCAATTAGGTTCCCTATCACTTGAACAGTCTTAGTAATTAGGTATAAAAAGAAGGCCCCTTAAAACCAATTAAGGGAAGGGCGCCAAACTGGCAGGACACCGGAAGTAGAAACCATGGATCTATCTGTACATAAACGTTTCTCAGGAAGAGGATCCTGCGCTGTCTTTAGCTTCTCCCAACACCCCTCCCTCCAATTCCTTCCAGATACTATCCCTTTAGGGGCCACCAAGAGAGCCAAGCCTGCGAAGGGTGGGAGGTCTTATCCTCTGATTTGAGGGTATGGACAAGGCCAGGTTCTAGGAGTTTCTCTTTTGCTCTCGCTTGAAGTCTACACTGCGCAAACCAGACCTCCGTCCTTCATAGGCTCGAAGCCAGGGCGTGGCCGGCTCGATCTGGTCCTCGGGCGCCCTGGGCCTGCAGCAGGTGACTAGTTGCGGTCGCAGAGCTCGCATCATCGTTTCTTCATTGAGCGAGTACCGCCTTGCTTCTGGAGGGGGGGTGCCTGGCTCCGGCGCGCACTCCTTTTCTCGGCGGAGGGAGCCGGTCTCGCCTCGCGCTACGTCGTACAAGGCGCGCTGACGTCGCGGAGGGCCGGCAATCAGCGCGGGAGCGGCTAGTGCGCTCGTGTGCCTGTTGGTCACGGACGGGAGCGGGGAGGCGTAGGGTTCGGGGATGTGAGGGGAGCAGGTACCTGATAAATGTTTAAAGCACAAATGGATGGAAGAATAAGGCAATGAGTAAAGGAAGGAGCACGTGTCTCCACTCAGGCACAAGTGATAAACCATCTCAGATTCTGATGGGCTCAGGCCTAATCTGTAAGGGGTTTCTGATGTTTGAATTATATCCTTCGGTTTTATGTCCTCCACAGGTGTGAGCACGCTCTGTGGGTCACCTTCCTAAGATAAGGCAGTTGCCATATAAGTGGAGGTGACGGATACATTCTAAAATATGGTACTTCCCACTCTACTCTCATGCTATTTGACTCCCTCGCTGCCTACACCTGAATTATCACCACACAAAGTGATATGGGAGGCCAAGCGCTGAAGATGGTGGACCATCACGTAGCCTTAGCCTTGCTTTCTATGGCCATGGAGGTGGTGGGCGACTTCGAGTACAGCAAGAAGGACCTCGTGGGACACGGGGCCTTCGCCGTGGTCTTTCGGGGGCGGCACCGTCAGGTGAGCGCCGCCGATCCAGCTGGCTCGGTCGAGGCCGGGATCCCTGGGCGTCACCGGACTGGGGGGTCTTTGAAATTTGGCGACGCCGCAAGAGCCGGGACCCACCACCACCACCACTTGGCTCGCCGCCTTGGGCCTGCCATTGTGCGCGCTGTCAGAGTCGCGGGGTTTGTTTTGGTCTTGCAAGGATTGTTTTTGAGGCCGGAGCTTCTAGGCAGCGCTCCACCTACCGACCGGCGCCTGACCACTGATGGTCCCTCCTTGTCAGTGTGCTTGGTAACCAGAGGGCGCTCAGGGATTCGCCCTTGTGTGCCACACGGAGAAACCTTTCCACCTGAAGTTACTTACCGTGGACCGCAAATGACTGAACAGTCCTTTGCACCTTTCGATGCTCGAGCGTGGCCCCTCCTCACCTCCCGAGCTGCCAGGGCTTGTCACCTCTGAGGTTGATAATTGAAGACCCTGCGGAAAACGGGCAGCTTTCCCATTAGCCTTAGGCTTTCTCAAACAGAAAGTATCACTTTTCCAACATTGGTTTTCCTACAACCCGACCAGCCGGGTACCATCTTACCCCTTCTGAGTTAGACGGACTTAAAGTGGAAAAAATAGTTGGATGCTTCATTTTCCATCCAAATAAACATGAACTCATGTTAAAGCCTTAAAAAAAAAAGCGTTTGCTGTTTCTCAAATAGGGTCACATGAGGTTTTAGAATCTAAAGAATTTGGAAAGGCTTGGGGAGTGGAAATAATCATAAAGGCTTTGCCTGTTTTGATTGTTGCCAAGGGCCATGTTCACAGTGCACATGTCTTTGTTGCTTACTTTCTATTGTGAAAACAACTTAAAACTCAAGGAAAAATTAAAACACTTTATAATCTAGTCAAGCTAATAAATACTGCTTTCAACTAATCATACCACTTTCCAAGTTTATATACACAGTTCTCCATAACTTTTATGTGGTTGTAAACAGATTTTTAAAAAAATTTGTTGCTAGTTCCCATGTAATCATCATATTTGCTATTTTTATAGCTGTGTTTAGAACATTGGTTTATTATACCGATTTGTGAAATAATTATCCTGTTGCTGGAGATTGAGGTACTTTTTTATTTTTCCCCAGTTCTGCATATTCTATCTGCTGCTAAAAACATTTTGTGCTTATTTTTCCTGTTGTTTCTGTGTAATAATTTCTAGGAGTAACACTATTTTTCCTTTTCAGAAAACTGATTGGGAGGTAGCTATTAAAAGTATTAATAAAAAGAACTTGTCAAAATCACAAATACTGCTTGGAAAGGAAATTAAAATCTTAAAGGTATGTCATTTTGTGTAGTATTACATACTAGGCTAAAACTTAATCTAAATTAAATATACATGATGGCATCCTTTGCAGTTTTGGTTGTTGAACCCAAGTTTGATAATTTCTAGCTGCTGCTTATTTTTATATAGTCATTGTTTTGAGGCATTAAGTACACTGAACCTTTTTTTTTTTTCCTGTTTTTTTGCAGTAGTATCTTGCTATGTTCAGGCTCACTATGTAGTTCACACTGGCCTCAAACTAGAAGGAATTCTCCTGCCTCAGCCCTCCTTGCTGGGATTATGGCCACCATGCCTGGCTGAAGCTATTTTTAGTAACGTAGTGTGGCTCTTGGCCAACTTGAGAGAGTTTCTATGAAAACTGATTTTAGCCTCTTATACTTTCTTTGATTTTTCTAGTTACTCTGTGACTGTTTGAGAAGAGGGGTAGGCAGGCATGTTTGGTACAATGTTCACCCCTTCTGTTAATTCATTTCACTTTACAATTAAGTTTCCTTTTTTTTTTTTTTTTTTTGGTACGGGGGATCAAACTCAGGACCTTGTGATTGCAAGACAGGCGAGGTGCCACTGAGCTAAATCTCTGGCCCTTACAATTAAGTTCCTTTGGGAGAAGTGGGGTGACTTATTTTTTTTAATTGAAGATTTTTTTCTTTGGAGGTAGTCTTTTTAGATTACTCCTAGCTAGTATTATCCAAGTGAGATGTTTTGAGAAAAAAAGGATTCCATGATGAAATACATATGGAAAATTCTGTTTATTAAATACTTGGACAATCACAAAACACATAGCTCACTAAAGACTGAAAAATTCTTCCAGTTTCAGCATATTTAACCCAGGGTTTTGCAGACTAGTATGAGCATATTCTGCACTTAGCAGCTTTCCTCAAAACTACCTTGTGGAGAATTCTTTGGTAAGATTAATAGTTTTACAGCTGAGAAATATACTTTCTTTTCTTTTAGGCAAATAATATGCTTTTTAAAAGCACTTTAAGATGTTGTATCTCTTTTGCCATTAGAGATTTATATTAAATTTGGTAGTCTGTGGCCATACTGACAGTTGCATTTGTTTTGTAAACAAGAATACTGACTTTGTTAGGAGTCTACAAAGTGGTAGTATTGAAAAAAATATTTAGGTTCCATGTAAAGTTTGATCGTGCACATTTCATTTTTCAATAGATTGGATTTTTTACACCATTGAAGTTGTAATATGCTAGGAATAGTAAATATGTTATCTTTAATTTGTATTTGTATATTGAAATATTAAAATTACTGGAATACTTATTAATCTAAATTCTCAATTTCTTCAACAGGAACTTCAGCATGAAAATATTGTAGCACTCTATGATGTTCAGGTATCTTATTTGCATTTTTAAAAAACAAGCATTTAAAACATTTCTGTTTTATACAAATTTAGGTGCTTAGGCTGGGATGTAGTTTAGTGGTGCTGTGCCTCCTTGTCAATCAATAGGTCCTAAACTTGAATTTTGGCACTGAAAGACAGACAAAAGAAAAACAAATTTAAATGATTCCTTTTTTTTTTTTTTTTTTTTTTCCTGTTTTGGATGCAGGGTCTCACTGTGTAGTTCAGGCTAGCCTTGAACTTAGTATGTAGCTAAGGCTGGCCTCAAACTCGTAGTGATCCTCTTGCCTCAGCTTCCCAAGTGCTGGAATTACAGGCATGTGCCATCATGCCCAGTGGTAATTCTTAATAGAAATTTACAGTTACCTTAATTCTTTTTGAAGAGACAAATAATTTGAGTTATGTCACTAAGATATTGTTTAAAATAAGGAGCACTAGTCTAAAATAATGTGCAGCATGGGTACATTTGTTATCAGTTGATAATATACTGTCAAGGTAGTTTGCTAGGTCAGGTAGAAGAATCCTGATACCAGATCTAGCATTTCTGTGATAAATGTAGAAAGGCATATTGTGGACTACTGAAAATATTTAAATGGAGCCTTTTCTAATTATGAAAGCAACATTTGTAAATCACAGAAATGTTAGAAAATAAGATGAATAAAGCTGGGGATTTAGCTCAGTGTTTCTGCTGCCTACCTTGCAAGCACAAGGACCTGAGTTCAATCCCCAGTATCAAAAAAAAAAAAAAGATTAAAAACAAGGATGTTAGGCACATTTATACTCAGATGCATATGCTATTATCAATGTGGCATACAGTAGAGTTGTATTTGGAGATGGAAAGCTGAATTCTAATGTTTTCTAAAGCAAAATTTCTCTATAGATAGAATTATCCTTCTCAGAGGTCAGCTTTGGAGAAAAGCACTGTTTTTTGGTTGGAACACCAACTATAGTATTTGGCTTATATTTAGGAGTATTATGTTTAAAAAATTCTCTGTTACATGCTAGATACACTTCAGGTGGTGTTCACTGTGTGAGAGCCGAAGGGACTGAGACATATGGAGGGAACAGCAGATTCAGATTTTCTCTCCACTCTTACTTCAAGGCAGATTGTTAGGCACGGTTCAAGTATCTTTTGTTTTGCTTAGTCTGTACTGTTGAATTTCAGTAAAATAAATGTATGTATTATGTGACACAGTTAATATAAACTTCTAGCTAAAACTTTTCTGTGTTCACTTACATTATTTAAATACATTCATTTTGCAAGTTTTTGAATGGTTACAATATGTCAGTCATTGTTCTGAATAGTAGACTTAAAGTAGTGAATGAAACTCCTTGCTCTCAATGCTTAATTGTAGTGCGGTGAGAAAAAAAACAGACTGTTTTAGGTATTTTTTTTATGTAGCCGTTTTTCACATGGTCAATTTTAACAAAAAGTATTTAGCTAAATTTGTGTTATAAGATATTGTTTTTCTCATTTTATAGAAAATATTTTCCAGTTATAAAAAATGCTATAAAACAACATAACTTTCATTATTATAGTTCAATTTCTAGAATTAAAATTAGGACAAAAACCATGCATATATTTTTGGTCATAGAGTTATGCTTGCTTTCCAAAAACTTTGCATTTTAAACTACTACATATGGGATATATGAGTGCTATACGTGTATTTTATTACCTGTTTAAATAGGCAGGAATCATTCCAGGAATTAAAGCACTTTAAAAAGAAAGGAGGAAAAAACTTTAAAGTAAAAAACTAAACTCATCTCACAATCCTAGTTGAAGTGTCCATTCTCCTTAGAGCTGTTTGTGCAGTTTGTCTTTCTTATTCTCTATAGATAGAGGGCACCAAGTGGTACAAGTTGACTCCTAGTACAAAAATTATTAAGTAATGTTAACTGTTAATTTACCATTCTTGGAACAGTACAGAAAAACTCTTGAATTGCAGAATAGCTTTCTCTTTCAGAACAGAGTATACTTAGATTTATTTTTCTATCAGAATGAAAAATATGAAGTACCAGCATTGGTTATAGAATGAGATATTATTGGAGAAAATGTACTCCAAAACCTGTATTACCAATCAGGAATTTCAGGGTACAACTAATGTGTAAAAATAAATTTAAAATATCAGCCACATATGTGTGGGCTCATTTCTGGATTCTTTTAGGTTTTTTATCTATGTCATTAAGGAGCTGAGTAGGGAAATAGTAGAATGAAATGCCTATGATAATTTTGTTGATGTGAGTGCTGGAGAGGAGTAGAGGGTAAGGATTTCTGGGTATCAGGAAAGGAGAAATGTATGTGTAGCTGTGACAAGCTCTTAGTGGTCTGCTTCTCAGGTTATATTGGCCTAACTTCTTAGCCCTTTTGATCATGTAGGTAACCTCTCTTCTGAGTTCTTGATGCTTCAGTACCACATGAGTTTCAGTTTGTCTGTAGGTGATTTGACAGGTTCTGTTAGTCCTATCTGTTTTAGCTATTCATGTTTCAAGTTAGTTAAGTATGTACTTTGTTTTTAAAAACGTGCACTATTTTGTAGAGGGAGCCTGAAGGTGAGCAGTGTCCAAGAGAAAGTATGATTGAATCTGTGGAGATCTTCCCTGCACTGAAGGTGGACAAGCAGGATGGTTTGGATGAGTGGTCAAGGATATTAATTATTTCTTTTCATTATTTATTGGATTAGTGGATGAATGAATGAAGAAAAACTAAGTAGTTTGTATAACTCCAAAGTTGAGAATACCAAAAGAGCGTTTGACCTCTTCTGGTGAGTGAGTGCAAGTTATTGATGACTGTTTAAGACTCCACTTCAGGAGTCTAATTCCTAGGTCCTTTTTCTCTGCAATAGTTAGTATATGGTACTATTACATGGTTAAGCAACACTGATTTGAGGTAATATTTTTGTACTTGATAAAAGAAAATATTGTTGAAAGTTGTCAGCATTTAATGATTTCTGAGTAATTTTAGGGATCATATGTTTTGGTCTGGTTTGATCAGGTTTCACAATGAAATTATATAGTTCACAATGGAGATGATTTAACTCTTAGATACATAGTTTTTGTTTTTATTTCTGATAAGAGGAAGCACTTGATCTTCTAGCCTGCTGGATGCTGACTGTGCTCTGCTTCCTTCCTGATTTGTCAGGGGAGAGCTGCTGTTAAGAGATGGCAGGCGGGCATCTGTTTTAGATTCTTCATGCTGGGATCCTGCTGTGGCAGGAGCTGGCTCCCAGTTCTTTAGCAGAGAGTAAATGCTGACAATTTTTGTGGGCTTCTCTGGAATCAAAGACTTTTGGCATGATGTGTTTCAATTTTTTTTTTTTTTTTTTTTTTTTTTTTGGTGTGGGGGATTGAACTCAGGTCCATGCACTTGTGAGGCAGGCAGTGGCACCACTGAGTTCAATCCCCGGTCCCATGATGTATTTCAATTTTTTAATGTAGTACTTGAGAAGTAAGTGAAGAAAATCATCCTAAGTCATTGAGTTTCTTGCAGACATTATTTTTTACATTCAGGTTTTGAACTATGGCATCCAGCCCTTTGTGGCTATGGTGAAACAACTGTATGCTAACCTGTTGGGTTGCTGTTGTTATAGGTAAATTTTTTTTTCTTGGTACCGGGGATTGAATTTGGGACCTTGTGCTTGCAAGGCAGATGGTGGCACCACTGAGCTAAATCCCTGGCCCTTTGTTGCTGTTGTTATTGGGAAGTGCACAAGACTAGCTTGTGGTGAAGCTTGATTTTTTTTTTTAATGTTTGTGAACAGATACTTTCTTAAACTCAAGTAAGAATGAATTGTTACAAAGATAAGATAAAGAGGGCCTACAAATTAGCATTAAAATTTTTTTCCTCTGGTGGTGGGTATGCAACCCATTCTGTTATGCATGCTACACAAGTGCTGTACTGCTGAGCTCCGCATAATCCTGGCCCCCTAGTTATTATAATTAGGTTCATCAGGCAGAATTGTTTTGTGGAATTTCTTTAAGCCTTTTCAAAATCTTGTCTTAATTTCTGTAGCTATTTCAATGTGGGGCAGTAAAATATTTTCTCGACTGGTACCAGTTATTGAACTGATTCTGAGGAGTGTTGCTGTAAACTGCCCCATTTCTGACCTTTCCTTCTTTTGTTTTTTTCATAGAACTTTGTATTTGGATTTAGGACCTTTGTGTGTGTGTGTGTGTGTGTGTGTGTGTGTGTTTTTCTTTTGGTACCAAGGATTGAACTCACAACCTTGTGCTGCAGGTGTGGTGCCACTGAGCTACTTGGAAGCACTCGATAGAACTCTTATTTTCAATCATGTTGAACATGTTATTTATTTATTAAGCCCTGGGGCAGCCCAGTTAAAATTTTTTTTTTTTTTTACACTTTTGAGATTGTCTCACTATGTGGTCCTGGCTAGCCCATGCTAGCCTCAGATTACATTTCTGTTTCCTCAGCCTTGCAGGTGCTGGGAATATAAGTGTATATCACTTCACTTGGTTTCCAATTTAAAATTTAGTTAATATTATAAAAATTCTTTGAAGAGTGGGCTAACCAGTTTTAGAATTACTTATCCAAGCGATAGACCTGGAGGTGTATAACTTGAGGGACTCTGTAAAATTCCTCAAATCAGTTGCTTAGAATCTTTGAACATGTCCTAATATAACATGATGAAACATCTCTTTGACAGCAATTCCCTGATGTGATTACCCTAAATAAACATAAAAACTAGAAAAACAGAAAAACTCCACGTCCCTGGTCACGTGTTCCAGAAATTAAAATGCCTGCTTAGTGTTGCTAGGAAGGATTATAAGTTATTTTGCTACCCAACTCAGAAATTTTTCAAAATGGAAGTACTTCTCAAAGGATCGAAGACCTTTCTTTATTCACAAGTGGTAATTTACCTTGCATTTCATCTTATGTATTGTTTTAGGTCCGTCATAATCAAAATTTGAATCATTCTTTCATTCTTGCCATAAACAGAATCGAACTTTTTTCTTTTCCTTTTTTGTTTTCTTTTGTGGTGTTGGGAATTGAAGTTGGGGCCTTGTACTGCTAGGCCAGGACTCCAGCAGTGAGCTGTACTCCCCCTTGATGACATTAGTTTTACCAAGCTGGGCGTGGTGGCTCATGCCTGTAATCCCAGCACTTGGGGAGGCTGAGGCAGGAGGATCACTGTGAGTTTGAGACCAGCCTGGACTACATAGTGAGTTCCAGGTCAGTCTCAACTACATAGTGAGACCCTGTCTCAAAAAAACCAAAAAAAAAAAAAAAAAACCCCAAAAAACACAAACAGGCATTAGTGTTACCAGAACTTAATTTGGTTTTGAAGAGGAGATTCTTACATCATTGTTTAGAATTTAAATTTCACTTTAGGATGGATTTTGTGAGTTTACTGGTTCAATAGTGATTTGAAAATTTATTTTTGTTGGATTTTTGTTTTTTGTGAGATAAACTTTTGCTATGTATGTATTCTAGGCTGGCTTTGAACTCACTGTGTAGTCCATACTGGCCTCAAATTTACAGCAATCCTTCCTGCTGGGATCGCAGGCATGTACCACCATGCCTGGTTAATAGTGAAAATGTATTTTTATTATCAGTTTTTAATTTTTATTTATTTATTTGATAGCATTTAATATTTTTTCTAAGTGATATTAATGTTTGCTTTTTAGGAATTACCCAACTCTGTTTTTCTGGTGATGGAGGTAGGTAATCCAAGCTTCTATTTAATTTATTTGAAATTCCTTTTGACTAGTATGCACTTTGAAATTGACATTAGGTTATTAACTCTTAGAAATTTAAAATTATAAAATATGTAAAATTTAAAGCATTGATTACATAATTAATAATTTTAAAATTAAATACAAGTGACTTTTTAAAACAAAAATTAACTGAATGGATTGAATTTATCTTGAATCACTGTCCTTATTTTAATTACCTTTTTTTTTGTATATCAGTATTGCAATGGTGGAGACCTGGCAGATTATTTACAAGGTAATTGTGTGTGTGTGTGTGTGTGTGTGTTTGTGTGTGTGAGAGAGAGAGAATGTTCAGTAGAATAAAGATAGAACTGTAGTTTAATCCAGACTCTGCTTGTTTTCCCTTTAAAAGATGCAGTAGAGTGTGAAGCTCTGAGTTCGATTCCTGATGCCAAAAAAAAGATGCAATAACAATATGCAAAAAGAAAAAAACCCCAAATATGCAAAAAGATAGTACAAAGAATGTAGTCATTATGTACTGCAAACATGTAGTAATACAAATGATAATATAAGGTTAATATATATGTACAACCTGTAAACAGATCATAGCAGTTGTTGGCAAAAGCACTAATAATCTCAGTGGATACCCACACAAAAGGTACGGGCAGTTCACAAAGAAGAAACAACATATTTAAAATGTTTAATTTCACCTAGCAGCCAGGGAGTATAATTAAAAATGAGACTTAAAAAAGTTTTAAAAATGTAGAATATTGCCCACATTCATAAACTGTGTAATGAATATAAAGAGCACTGATATATACACCTCCAATTTATAAATAAATTGTGTTGTTGAAGTGCCCCTTTAAGCCTTTGTGCGATACCATTCCTATCCTTCCCTCGATGCATTGTCCTGAGTTTAGTTGTTTTAAAAAATATGTCAATTTAGGTAAAAAATATTTCAGAATGTCATTAGCAAGTAGATAGAATACAGTGAGATGGGTACTTTTCATCCACTTTTGACAGAAAATAGTTGAAGCTAAAGAGCACTCTGCTTGCTATTCTGCCTTGTCCGTCTCTGAATCTTGTGTTCCTTGGTATCCTTAGTGTTCTTGGTTTAGACATCTTTCTGCTGATCAAGTCAGATCAAGTGGCGTTTAAGTTTAGAGCCCTAATTAGAATATCAGTTTCCTTCATAAACAAGTGTTACCGATATAAACAATTTTCCAGTGTGGTGGATTTAGTTTAACTTTGGCAGCAGTTTTGTCCATAGTTTTCAACTTTGTATTAGATTTTTTAGATCAATATTGTTATAACATGGGACTAAATAGTAAGGAGCTTAAGAGCTTGATTGTTGAATTTAGCCAAGCAAACACTGTTCTAGTTTTAATGTTTATATCACTTAAATGCTGTGAGTTTTGGCTTTTAAAATTTATTTTTATTAATACATGTTTGTTGTACATAATGATTACATTCATCATGGGGAGTACATGCACCTAAAACATCCTAATTCTTTTTAACCTCTCCTTCCTTTCATCTCCCTACACCCTCCCTCTCTTTTTGATTTTGGTTTTTTAACCTATCCCTGAATCCTCTCTGTCACAGTCTTTGTTTTTTTTGTTTTTTTATTTTTTTGAGGCAGGGTCTCACTATGTAATTGAGTTTGACCTGGAACTCACTGTGTAGCCCAGGCTGGTCTCGAACTCACTCCTTCTGCCTCAGCCTCCCGAGTGCTGGGATTACAAGCGTGCACAGCCTTTAAGGGAATCTCTTGCAGTTTAAAAACAATTCTAAAAGTGCTTTCACATTCTAAAATATGAAAGAAGTTAGAGTCGTAAGGTATTGGCTATATTAGTTGGCACTAATATAGTAGCCTGTGACCATCAGGGTTTTAAACTGTGGCTAGTCCAAATCGAAATGTGCTAGAAGTGTTAAATTGCACACTCAATTTTGAGCACTTCATCAGAAGAAAAGAGTGATTGAATCTTACTACTCTTAAAATACTCATTACACATGGGCATGATGGCACATACACCTGCAGTCCCACCCTTGGGAAGCTGAGACAGGAGAGCTGCCAGGAGATCAAGGCTAGCTTGAACTACATAGTGAGACCCTCTCCCAAAAAAATAATTTAAAAAAATTACAAATTTAAATGACATTTTAAATGTATTGCGTTAAATACATTAATTTTATCTTTCTTTTCAATTTTTCTTTTTGGAGACAGGGTCTCACTGTGTAGTTCAGGCTGACCTTAAACTCATGTAGCTCATTTTGGCCTGGAACTCACAACTGTCCTCTTGCCTGAGCCTCCTGAGTGCTGGAATTACAGGCATGTACCGTCATGCTGAGCTTCTCTCACTTTGTAAAAATGTAGCCACTAGAAGATTTAAACTTACATATATGGCTTACATTATATTTCTTTTGGAGAGCACTGATCTGCAAAGTCTGGAATGTGAAGAAAATCGATAGCCATTGTATCACAACATAAACATTTAGTCCATTTATTTGCTCCAATAAATAAAATTTATTATTATTATTTTTTTTTTGATACTGGGGATTGAACTCGGGACCTTGTGCCTGTGAGGCAGGCAGCAGCACCACTGAGCTAAATCCTGGGCCCCAATAAATAAAATTTAAACATTTCCAAAAGATTGAAAGCAAATTCTGTCAAATTGCAAGTTTAAATTTAATCACACATTTTCATCCAGGGATGCTGACACATGCCTTGTAAGTCCAGCAGTTGGGAGGCTGAGTCAGGAGGATCTCTGAGAGTTTGAGGCCAGCCTGAACCTACATGGTGTCTCAAAAAACAAGATAGAGGTTGGGGAAATGTAGCTCAGTGGTGCAGTGCCTGCCTGATAAGCACAAGGCTCTGAGTTCAATTCCCCATACCAGAAAACCAAAACAAAAGAAAACAAAAACTCCTAAAACAACAACAAAAATAAAATAAATTTTAGTTGGGTGTGGTGATGCACATCTATAATCCCAGTACTGTAGAAGACTGAGGCTGGAGGATCACCTGGGCAGTTTAGTATCTTTTTGAGAACCTGTCTCAAAATCAAAAATAAAAGGTGGGAGATGTGGATTAGTGTGAAGGTCATGGGTTCAATTTTTAGTATCACAAAAATGAAATAAATTCTAAGTTAATAAGTAATGTAATTTCATTTTCTGAAGGTTGTGTGAAGAGAATACATCCCATATTTACTGATGTGAGGTTTTATGGTAATTTGTGTTCAGAACAAGTTAAACTAGGTTATTGTTTCTATTATCCGTGGAAACTGTTAGAATTTGAATTCTGAGTTAAGTAAATTTTAGATACATTTAATAGTGTGTAATGAGACAAAAATACAAGTTATAAACAGCTATAATCACTTTAAAGTAGCAAAATTGTTTTGAGCCTTAAATGTAAATGAATGAAATATAAAAATGCTATCCATTTTAGTTGTTGCAGTGTAATTGAAGTAAAATGTGCAAATAAAGCTGGGACTATGGTTTAGTAGTGGAACACTTGTCTAGGTAGTAAGAGGTCCTGGAGTAGGGATGCTAGTCATTGATTTAACTAGGCTAATATGTAAAGTATTTGTTGACAAAGACAAGAAAGTAGATCTGGAAGAATGTACTTCAGAGTTTTAACACTTAACAGTGGATCCACAAAGATGATGTGGAAGATACCACATTTTATATCTTTTTAGTATATTTTGAAATTTTTATTTAGTGTATTTGAATTTTTTTAAAAAAAATGAGCATCGGGGAAATAAAAAGAGGGAGGATAGATTAAAAATAGTCCTCGCCGGGGGCCGGGGATTTAGCTCAGCGGTTTGGTGGCCTGCCTTGCAAGCGCAGAGACCCG